ACTTTTTAAAAATAGTATTTTGGGCTGTTTTGTTTTGTTTTTAGATAGAACACTGCTTTGAATCATATCTTAATGATTGGCTACCAAGTTTAAAAAACCGATTGATATTTCCCAAATTATTAGCTATTTGAATACACAAGCACTATTTCTGCTCAGAGGAATGCTCTAAGATTGTGATGTGTTTGGGCCCCTTGAAGGAAATTGTATATAAAAGGGATAATAGTGAAAGATGTTCTTGGAAAAGTAAGCAGGGATCAGATTATAACATGAGCCATGTTTTGAGGAGATTGAAATTTATTCATAGACCTGAAGAGTGTCATTGAGGTGTCATAAACTTCAAAGAGAGTCGTAAACACAGATGTCGTGACAAGATCCTATTTGTGTTTTAGAAGTCACTTTTTCTACAGTGGAGAATAGATTGAAGAGGGGAATGACTGGAGGAAAGTAGGCAGACTCTTGCAAGAGTGATAGGTGAGTTAAGGCCATGATCATAGAGAAAATTGAATAGATTGGAAAAATATTAAGCACAGGATGTGGGGGAGATGGCAAGGGAAATGGAGATTTCAAGGATGAGAAAAATGTTCCGAACTGCCTAGAACTGAGTCAAATTTAATGTAGTTAACATTACTCATGATTAACACTTCTAACATTATTATTTACAGTATTCATTATTATTATCCTCATGACTAATTTATTATTAAATTAAATAATTACATATTTACATACATATTAAATAATTATTATTCCCTTTTTTCATTAAAGGAATGTTTCTGAATGTGAGGATTCCATTTTAATAAGAAAACATATTGCAGACTGTGCTCTCCCCACACAATAGTTTTATTTTTAGTAGCAGCTGACTTCTGCAATGTTTTGAAGGACTTTTAATTTTATTACATACAACATCATCAGCATATATTATTCATGCTGTATTCTTTTAGGGATAAATAAAGATCAAATGGCAATGGTTACTGCAATTGAAAGTGGTGGAACTCTTATGATAGTTTTTCAGCCTTCCCTCCCCCCGCCCCAAGATCTGTAGTCCACAGGTTTGGAACTGCTGGTCGAAACAGTTATTTATGAATTTGTTTTGAAGACTTTAACCTCAGATGTGCAGTACTGCCCCTTCTACTGGGAAAAGTAACTGCAGAACAAAGTCCTCTTCTTTCTTGAAAGACACATGCTACTAAATAGGGAAAAGTGATTAACAAATGTGTTTAACACAAACAAGAATTTGTTAAATGTAACAAGTCAAACATTTTAAACAGTCTAGACAGGTTTAGACATGAGGAATTTTAGTGACCTTATTTTTTCTCTTATTTCCGTATCATTATACAAGTAATTCTACAACTATGTCACTAGAGGATTTTTTTTGTTTCTTCATTTAATATTGAATTAATTGCACTCTGTACTGTATAATGTGAAGTATATCATATCACTTCTTACTCATCAAAGCATAAATTATTTAGTACTCTTTCTGTAATTCACTTAGTGTGGCAGTCAGGAACT